ATAATAATAATAATAATAATAATAATAATAATAATAATAATAATTCCTAAATGTTCGCGCTCGTAGCTGCGACAAAAGGCATCGCTCACGAACGAGTTCAGCAATTCCTGCGATGTTCAGTCATCCCTCGCCTTTCTACAATTTTCCTACTATTTTTTTTTTTTTTACTTTTTTCATAATTTTTTTGTCAGAAAGTATGTAGAAGTGGGCAGTTATCGGGCAGCTATTAGACTCCGTTGTTTAAGAAAGACACAAGTCGTCTGTGGTCCGACTACCCCGAGCCGCGGATCGGGAACAGGAGATTGCTTGGATTCACGATTGGTATCACGCGTGAGGATATCCTTATTTTTTTTCTTTCTTTCGCGTACGTCCCCGTTGCGCTACGTGGAAAAAGAACGGTTGCTCAGCTCCTGCAGTATCAGCAGCTCAGCTGTCTCAGCTTCGGATACAGCAGCCGCGCTGTTTTGGTAATCATGCCGCCAGCAGGTTCTTGATGTTTTTCGGCGTGTTCTCCTCGTTCAAGTGTTTCGTGGTGTAACGGAGTGCGTTCAACAGACCCTCGCTCTTGCACGGTGGTTGATCCTTTAACAGCCTCACACAGCCTTTAACCTGGACAAATAAACATTTTTATAAACTGTCCAATATAGTTCTCTCCAGTCGACGTTTTTCGACAAATCCAATAACAGACGGAGTTCGTTTATTTTTACTTACATCAACATTCGAACCCTTAACGAAGGCACCTTGGGGGTGAACGTGATCGTAAAGGATCACTAGCCCTACCATCACTCTCAGAACAAAGAGCTGAGTCTCCTCTCGTTGGAACTGCGCCAATAAGTTTCTGAAGAGAATAAACATATTTCTGTTTGAACCATATCTGTACTACAATTAATCGGAAAATTCTATTTCTTTGAGTGGCAAATAAATATTACTTACGGATTTTCTAGCATGCGCAGGCAAACTTTGGCCATAGTGCCAAGCGTTTCTGTGATGTTCTCGCGTGCTACATCCTCGTTCTGAAACGTGCAACAAGAATTTCGAACTTTTAGAAAACAATTGGAATTTTACTATCCTCCACGTAATAATTTTTATACTTGTTTCCTTTGCATTAGATAAGCAAACGTCTCTTTTAGATTTCTTAATTAATTGTAAGTCTACTTTGAATATCTTTAACTATTTCCTGTAACGTTCCAATTAAAGTACAGACGAATAATTCGATTCGAATGTATCCGCTGTCGATTACGCTGGTAAATGTTCCGAGAACTGTTTTGCCCTGAATCACTTCCTATAATAGGTTTTAATTTTCTGCTCCAGAGCCCATCCACCTATCAACCCATTTAGTTCGCGTAACGTTTCAACCAATGTCCCCTCCCCGTTTCGTACTTGCGAAACAAACGCAACGCGCTCCTTTGTTCTACCCGGAATGGGAATCCTCGATAAAAAGATGCAAGGGTAATTAATTAATTACGGCACAAAACACGGAGCACAATATCTATTATCACGAAATTGAACGAACGCACTCGCGCACAAAGGAACGATTCCCCGTTGATTCGTCAAAGCGGAAAAATTCGTTTTCAAAGCTTTCCACAAACTATTTAAGCTTTCTCCCTCGGAACATGTACCGCTCTCCGTTCGTTAGCGGAAATACAACTGATTTCAAAGCACGTTTAACAGTTCGAATTGAAAACCCGAGAGCCTGCCAGAATCAACTTGTTGCGCAAAATAAAGAAAACACTTTTTATTAAAAAGAAAATAGGTTGTTGAAGTCTCGTTTTCGACGAATGCTTAGAACAGAAGAATAACGTCATCCGGCCGGAGAGTTCCGCGGAACGGATATCTATTGGCGTCGAGTGGAATCGATAATACTCAAGGAACGAGAGGACAGTAGAGAGTAAAGAAAGAGGAGAAGAGATACCACTTACGTCCATCAAGAAGGTAATGGTCGCGTGACTCAGAACACGAAGCATGGGTGTCGCGTGGGCGTAGAACAAGGACATTCGGTTGGCGAGCTCGTTACCGACCACGAGGTCCTTCTCGGCGTTCTCCTGCTGCGCTAGAGACGCTCTGGTCAGTGTCCTGCGGTAATAGCTGAAGTCGTTCTGAATCGCGGGCGTCTTCATTTTGTGCTCGTCGAACTTCAGTACGAACTCGAGAATTTCCGCCAGCTGTTTGACTAGTGCCTGCTGCGTCTCGAGATGTTGGGTCGGGGACAGGTTCCCGGAACACAGTTGACCCAGTATCTTCGGCACTACCTTCTCTGAAAAAATAGAGACGACCATGCTCTGATTCTCCTCGGGTCATGCCATCTGCGTTTCTTTAATCGTGAAGCGTTCGTAGGCAATTGTCTGCAGACTTTCGTATTTTGTCTCCAGTCGTTATCCCGCACTTATAGTCCACAAATGACGAAAGACAGAATGCAAACACGAGACGGACCGTGGATAATACGCAGAGACATGTTTGCAGGAAATTGTCTCTCGAGTCTAGACGAGATTTTAAGAGACAGTTACAGGCCTTTACACTTTGAGTTATGATCTTTAATTTGAGTGCCCGTTCCAAAGAAAAAAGAACAGAAACGTGTATTCGAAATACGATGCAAAATAAAAGAGATATTCCTCAATAATAAAAACTGCATCTACTTATTAACTATAAAAATATTATTTGTAGTAGAAGACACTTACCGAGTTCCAGTGAAAATTCATAGAACCTCTTCAGCTTGGCAACGAGCGGGGCGACGGTCATATAAGCCTTGCGTTGACACTCCTCCGTAGGCGCCGAAATCGCCTCGCGTATTTCCTTCCCGGCGCCTTTGTAGCATTGAATTTCCTCTAAGATAGATTCTGAATTTTTCAGCACTCTCTGCACCGCTTCGAACGTCTCCCGTTCCAGGTCGGAAGGTTGTGCGTCTAGAAATTCGATAACAACCGTCTGTACTTTCTTCCCTGTCTCGTAAACATCATCCGTCTGTCACGATTCGCACTTCGACTGTTTACGTCCCGTCGAATGTACAATTTATGTTAAGAGAGTTCCGCGTGGAAACTTACTCTCGAAATCCAAAAAGACGTCGTACTTTTGAGGGGTGCAACAGGTTGACTCGTCTCGAGCCAGTAGACTCAGAAGCTTGCCCATCTTCGATCTCAGGCTTCTTTCCACCCAGTATTTACAAAACGAAAGGCATCTGAATTTCAACAAACAAAATATTCTTGTAAAACCAGCCTGAAATTCAAATAAAATAATGATATAATTTTTTTCAATGAACTACCTGATACTCCAAGTATCTAAAATTCGAATATTGTAAGAAGCTTGGAAGAACTCGAACAATAATGAGTGACAGAACCGATCGGGAAAAGTGCGTGCGAGGCGGAGCTCGCGTTCTCACTGAAGCCAGAGTGGATTTCGAAATTCTGGCTCCGTGAGCCGACCCGCGCGTCGAGCTATTGTCGGACGCGTGTGTATGAACTTATGTGCGTAACGCGTTAACGCGCGCCTATCGGTATCTCCGCGTATGTATTCTGCGAACTCGTCAACGAGAGATGAACCTTGCGTTAATTCCGACCGACGATGCTAATCAGTGCTGACCTCATCTGAAACGAGCAAGGATTTCAAGGGCCAAAGTTTCCCACGCGAATTTGCCGTCATTAAGCAAAACTTGGGGTTCGATTAATTTCAAGGAATTTTTTAATACTTATTTTTTTATACAGAAATCAAAATAGTAAATACAAGAAGAAATCTACATGTATTAAGAAACTGTGATTTATAATTTAAAGAAATTCTTAAATATTAAAACTCAAGAATTATTCTGCTTTGTTGCAATAAAAAATATGACCAATTATTAACTGGCAAGAGTTAAGAGTTTAGTGAATAACAAAATAGAAACTTCCAAATGAAAAGCAATTACAAACGAAGAGAGCCGCGACTAAAGATAAGTTAAGATTACCAGTAGAACCGGTTCGTTAGTTTCCCGCGAGATAAGCGGGGAACAGTTACATGCACATACTTTCTTTCTAAAAACGGCAATTAGTTTGTTTCACTTTCGACGGGCACGATTACCGCCGGCAGTTATCGAAAATGGGAACGTTTCCATCGCGGTTGTCAGCGAATCCGCGATAAAAATCGCGATAAACGGCGGGATAGACGCGAGTAGAAGCTTGTCACACGAGAGCGATCGAGTTCTAAAGCTAGGTCTAAAATTGTACGCCGAGGGATTCCAATGTACCGCCGTGTGTCTCCGTTATTTTTAGCTGAAAACCGTCTGTCCCGTTAACGAATTTCTCGTGTCACGTTAAGTCCCGGAGATTCGCCAATTAAATACTTTTAACCATATCGACTACTCTATTACCCTATAAAAATAGCTCGTTTGTACAAATCGAATAAATCGTGTCATGATGGCTCACCTTCTATCAATATGAGACATAGACAGTCTGTCTTAAACTTGCCATTTGATATCAATAAATTCTTTGATAACCGATTACTAGATAAAATAATCTGTTATTTATCACTTAAATAAAATGATACTAGATATACACAATACGAAATCATCTTTCAATCACTTATAATATACAATATGGAACAGTCCTTCAGCACTTCATAACTCTGTTTACATCTTCTATAGAAAATTATGAGTAAAAGGCAGATAAAATAAAAAATGAGAAGTCGAGAATATTGTAATTTGCAATGTGGAGTTGGTAAAGTAATAAATGGTCCTCGTAACGGTGCTCGAGACTACTGAGGTAGATCGATCGCGCTTTATCCGGAATATCGAGTGCGATCGAAAATAACCCCGTCCGGCACGAGGCAAGTTTAGGATAAACGTTTACGTTGAGAATTCCGTACGCACGCAGAAACGTAGTCTCGAATTGGCGAAGTAGTATTATCACAGCGATACCACAACAAATCATCGTTTCCGTATCACTGTGGAATAAAACGTGATTTCGATAAAGAAAACAAACCCTCTGAGCCAACTGAAATCACAGTCTTCGAACGTCGGGACTAAAATAAAAGTGAAAATTTGCAGCCGAGTCAGCGAACTCGTTTCCGCGGAGCGAAAGACAAAGGGCACAAAGTACCGTCCGCGAGGATCAGTGAATTCTCGTGGCTCGAGGTGGAGGGACGTCGGAACCGAGTCCCCGGGGCTAGAAACTCACCCTGAAGAAGAGGCGACGGGATCGCGCTCGTGAACGCGAATACATGACGCTGACAGGTTGCACGTCACGTCGATGCCTTTGGTCGACGGCCAACGAGTATAAGTTACGCCTACGCGATCCGAGTGCAACAACTGTCACTCAACGGACGGCCATGTTGCTGGCTACTCGCAGGGGTGGTTTTGACGTTATGTGGTGGTAGCGCGGCGCGGTTCTCGAGGCCTCTCCTTATTTGGTAAACGCCAGTGGCGGCGGCACGTTCGCGCGAAAAATCAATGGGGGTAGTTCCACGGTTCACCCTCGGGGTGACGCTGCTGCTACCTTTTCATAGGGTTCTACAATCTTCCTTCACTCGGGAAATGTAGATAAAGTCTACATTTCTTCTTAATCTTAATTAAATCAAGATTTTCATTTTTGTTTTTTTAACAAAACTCGCAAAACAGAAATTCTATAAACTATTCGGACAATGTTAACATAATGGTATAGAAATTATTAATTTATAACAATAATTGCAGAAGTAATAGAATTATATTAAATATTTATATTGAGTTATTTTTTATGTAGAAGAATAGAACCAATATTTGAACGTTTATCATGTACAAGAAGCGTGGAATTTTTAATCAGTATGGTAAAAAACTTCGAGCATACAGTAAATAGTTCAGAAACTATCAGAGATTACTACATAAAAATAGTTTCATACATTTTTCATCGCACGTGCTCATACTCATTAATTTTAAATAACTGTTTCATAATTATCTGATAAAATTTAATCACAACTCCATGAAATTTACTATCGAAACAATAATAATGAAGTCGATAAACTGAACGTACAATTCTCCCAACGCTTATTCTGTATTAATTAGAACGAAACGATATTATGTCGTCTAAATTCTGTTATTCCTAGTTCTACCACATATATTCTGTTATTCTTGATTCCGCTGTACAAATATCACCGCGACAGCTTCGCAGAAGCATTTCAAATTTAGAAGTTCACGGGAACTCGTGGCCAACTCATCCGTGAGGGAGGTGCGCCGCTCCTTTTTTTGCCGTGAGACCAACGGATTGCCAGTGCGACGAGACTTCGAAAAGGGCGAACGATATCGGCGCGGCTGACCGACTTTGCCAGGGATCAATCGTGTTAATGTTTATACCGCTTTGCTCGGGTCAGTTCATTTGTGGGCCAACGGTCCCGCGTTAGACGAATGACATTGAAATAGCAAAATGATAAAATAGTTTCCTGAACAGATCCTTTTTTTTAAGTGACGTCTGTATCTGTTCGAGAATTCTATGTTCGTTTGAGGAAATCATTTATCAGAATCATTCAGATAACTGTGTTCAAATATTGGGAAGGTTTGAGTCAAGTATTTGATGATAGGAAATAAGATAAGAGTAGGTATTATTACATCGTTAATCGCACATGTTGACGATCAGTCAGGTGCATTTGAAAAACACTTTGCCCTTCGAAACTTCGAAGGGAAATGATAAAAAATTGAAAGTTCAATCTTCCGCCTCGGCGAGAGAAAATCGCAAACAAGAAACGTTTTCTTCTTTAAAAATAATAAAGAAGGGGCCCGATGCACCTCGCCTTTTATTTTCCCATAGAAAATAGGAATCGATTTTTCGAAGAGGATGCATTCGACGATGAAATAAAACGGAAGCCGTGGCTGAACAACGTGGTGGCACACAATCTCGCAGTTAGTATCACGCCCGCGATGATAAGACGCGGAGAGGTCGGTTATTTGCTCGAAGGAAATTCCGTGTCAAGAGAGAATTAGCCCGTTATTATCTATTGGTAGGGAGCAGTAGACGATGTAGACGACTGTAGCGATTCGCTGCCTTTTTCCCGATAGAACAGTAATCGCTTCTGACATTACGCGAGCCGCCACACGCGGCGAGGCACTCTTCGTGTACTCGCTGTTGCGTCCCGAACGTATTGGGTACTTACACACAGCGAAACGACGCCTTATCTGCAAAATGTTCTCTTTTAGTACGCAGCAAAAGTACAGCCGCTCGTCCCGTAATAACGCGAAACGCTTTACTCCACTTAGGCGTGCAAAATTAAAAAAGAATTCAGACAGTTGTTTCAAAAAAGCTTACATTTTAGATGGAGATACCAACAGTTTACGTGATTCTAATTTAATAATGTATTCGCTTAAAGTATAATATTAATTGGATTCTAAAATTCGTACGTACAATTATAAATTTCTCATATTTATTGAGACAAGCCTCGAACGATGTTTTCTCTGTTGTAACATTGATTCACGTCATTGGCACAATAAACAGGAACTGCCTGTGGTGGATTTAACATCCAACGCATATACGAGCTTTTAAAAATATTAACAAAATCAATACGTGTATTTTGAATTATTTATATGCTCCCGTGGTTGTCAATGACGTCAATCAACTTAACAACACACGCCTTTGACGTAATTACATTTTACTAAAATAATGCTTTCAAATTTAACTTGCATTTTTAAAATAGATAATGCGATAATATAATAATTACGTCGAACTCTGCTGACAGTATTTTAATAAATAAGATCAATTCACAAAAAAACGAATCTCATCTTATACACTCATCTTATAAACATTTTTTTAAGTACGCTTGTGCACGAAGGTATTTAGCTTTAAATTCATTTATAATGGAAGCTCGTTTGGCCTCTGGCAGAAAGTTCCCGTCGTCAGTTTCGCCAATGAGACTTTTACGGGGTGTTTAGATCCGAGGGAATCATCGCTGTTTCCTCGAGGCGTCGTTCCAGCATCGTCGCAGCGCGCAGCGTCGAGATTTTTGCACCTCTTCCAAGTGCACACGATTGGATAATCGTCGGAAACCGTGGGCGAAGATAATCGACGCCTATTAAAGGCCTTTTTGTGCATCAATTCCAGCAAATCAATTGAGATCCCTTGCTGTCTCCCACTCCGCGGGCCCCGATACAGACTCCCCTTTTCCCTCAACCTTAATTTTCGTCGCTGCGCTACGCTGCTACAACAAGCGAACCAACGATGATCCGCGATGATGACTGCTTACTGCGTGCGCGTTTACGAGCCGTACATAATTCATAATCTACCCTAATCCAAGCTTCAAATTCAAGCTTGCATATCTAAATTAATGTGGGATAATTAATTAACAAAATAATGTTATTAAAGCAATTAATAAAATAACTTTTTACAACTTATACACTCATCTTATAAACATTTTTTTAAGTACGCTTGTGCACGAAGGTATTTAGCTTTAAATTCATTTATAATGGAAGCTCGTTTGGCCTCTGGCAGAAAGTTCCCGTCGTCAGTTTCGCCAATGAGACTTTTACGGGGTGTTTAGATCCGAGGGAATCATCGCTGTTTCCTCGAGGCGTCGTTCCAGCATCGTCGCAGCGCGCAGCGTCGAGATTTTTGCACCTCTTCCAAGTGCACACGATTGGATA